CTCCAAGCTGACACCTAGCTGGCACCCCGGAACTGGAACTGCTGTGCATCCAGATCCTCTGCCTTGATGGCTCTGTGACACTCGCTGGTTAAGTCCTTCTCTGACCAGCTACTGTGACTCTTGGACTCTGCTTTCATCCTCTCCCCTGGGCTCTTGCTTGACCCAGCATTCTGAACACCTTACCCCTTCCTTAGTCCTCTGTCACACACGCGCACATCTGTGTGTGTGACATACGATGCATGACTTGAGTGTTATGGATATTACAAAGGAAGATTGGAATAGAATAAAAGAACTCGTGATTTTCAGGTGACCCGTGAGTAGTCAGTGAATACCAGCCACTGAAAATGATGTACCTTGTGAATTTATCGTTGTTCAATAAATTCTGATGTTGGGGTAAGACGCAGACGTTTGGTCTATGATGCCATAGCTCACTCAGGACAGCCACACTGACCAAACCAAAGTCATCACGTTTAACCCCAGTGACCCAAGAATACAGTCGCTGGAGTGGAACCTGTGCTGTATCACAGTGAGCCCTGCCTCCTGGGTAGCTGGGATTATAGGTGTGTGCTACCTCACCCAGCTAAGAGAGAGTTTAAATGTTCTCACCAAAAAAAAAAAAGATAAACACTTAAGGTGATTGATATGCTGGTCCCTCTGATTTGATTACTCCACCTGTATACATGCATAGAAACACCACATCGCACCCTGTGAACAAATTCGGTTATTATGTGTCAGTTCAAAGTAAAATAAAACTTAGGGCTGGGGATGTAGCTCAGCGTTAGAGCCCTTGCTTATCCTGCACCCTGGGTTCAACCTCCAGTGCTTCGAGAAAAACAAAAAGTAAAATAAAACTTAAAAAAAAAGGGGGGGTGGTTAAAACTTACCCAAGTTAAAAGTACTGAGCATAGCACTGACCCTCTTTTAAGAGAAATCCAGAGGACTTGGCAGAGGAGAAGCTGGGGCCCTGGGAGGTGAAAGGATCGCCCAGAGATAGAAACCATTTCTCTGAATCAGTGGGTGGCCGTGGGGGGTGGTGGGGGTCTCTGTGGAAGCCACCGACTCCACCTTCCTGTTTGGACTCCCAGAGCCGAAGGACTTCTCCGGCTCATGCTTCATCTCCACCCACCTCTTTCCAGAAAGGACTCAGGAGGGCCCTAGAGGGGAGAGTCCTCCTTCCAACTCAGCCTCTTCCTGTTGTCCCTGAATGGACCTGTGAGCTCCCAGAGCCTGGGAGGTTTGGTCTCTGGAGGGTGAGAGTGTGGAGGATTGCCCCCTCCTCCTCCCTCCCTCTCTCTCTCTCCTCCTTCCCTCCCGCTGTGCCTTCAGGGCCACCTTGACCCTTCAGTGGGGCCACCTCGGTGTGCTGGCTGTCATCTGGCATCTGTCACTCTAATGTGACTTCTTGGAGCTTACCACCTGAGATGTCAAAGCCACAACCTAACTCAAGGTCACATATTCGGGTCACACTCCCCTGTGAGTCAATCCCAGGTCAGCACCACCTCCCAGGTCTCCTAATCCCCAGGAAAAAGTGAATTTTGTGTTTAAGAATATACAGCGTTTAGAAATCAGGTGCCATCGAGCCTGCTGACCCTTCAGTGTCCTCTCTGGTCACATTCCAGCTTAGAAAGTCATCCCCCGAGAGTTTACATAGTCAATCCCATTTTCTGAAGTTTTGAATGGTTTATTTAAAAGTATATTAGCTCTCTACACTGTCTTCCTGTGGGGTGAGGGTCTTTCCACCTCGCTCATCCCCACCCATTCTGTGGACCTGTCCTCCTGGGCGATTTGTTGAAGTCTCCTGCTCTGAGCTCCATTTCTGGTCGGGTCCCTCTGTCCCACTGATCTTTTCTGCTCTGGGTCCTTATCAGGATGTGGAGTCACAGGCTGGGTCTTGTGTTCCACCTCGTGATCACCCCAGGAGACGTCTGGGGCCTTCTGCCCACACACCAGGCCAGCCAGCAGCGCTGCATCGGACGTTCTGACACTGTTATCGAAAGCTTGGTCCTTGTCCCCGATGCCAATCCAACAATGAGGACACAGTTTTGAGAAAAAGGAAGAAGTTTCATCACAGCCTGTCCCAAGGCTGTGATTCTGCCCATCAGCAGGAACAGGGGGCTTTTATAGAGGTGATTCAGAGAAAATGAGATGAGGGAGGAGAGATCAGGAAGGAGAAGATCAGGGAGGAGAAGGTTGAGGGGAAAACACATGTGCATTTCAAAGCTACAAGGGATATAGTCAGATCATCAAGTGAACCCCTGTTGCATGTCTATCTGGAGACACCCCAGATCCCACAGTACGGGGCTCAGTCCCCAGGTCCGACTGCTCTGCACGCCAGATGCCTGTGGTCAGCCCTAGATTATTTCACCTGTGCTTCCGACAGGCCGGCTATGAATTGGGTTCCCACCATCCCTCCTCAGCTTAGGTGAATTTTCTGCACTGGCTCAGGTAACTCAGGGCAGCCCTTCCATTCGCCAGTTTATTATGAAGGACATTACAAGGGGCAAGGGCTGAGGAAGGCCCCGTGTGTAGGAAGGGGCTCAGATGGAGGGAGCTCCGTCCCTTCGGATCCCCAGGGAGGCTTCCCTGCATCTCAGATGCTCACAGGCTGGTGGCCTCTGCATCCTTATTGGCCTCTCTGTGCACCCTCCTCCCCCCAGGTCAGGACGGCACCCTTCTGGAACGAGGAGGTCTGTTATAGGACCAGGGCAGGTCAGAGAGTCTCTATGCGCCTGGAGGTGAGACAGAAAGGGGGGGAAGATTCAGTTTCTGTGATGGCCTGGGGAAGAAGGCCTGGCTTCTGTGGCTGGCCTCAGGGAGGGAGTTTTGAGCCAGGATCCTTGGACAAAAACCAAGACATACATACCACAATATCACACTGGCCTTTATCCAAACCCTCAACTCACATGCATTATTTCTTCTACAAATATTTACTGAGGCAAATTCTGTGCTGAATGCTCCCCCACTCCCCCCAGTACTGGGGATTGAACCTGGGGGGCTTTCACCACTGAGCTACACCCCCAGTTCTCTTCATTATTATCTTTTATTTTGATACAGGTTCTAAACTGCTGAGGCTGGCCTCCAACTTTCGATCCTCCTGCCTTAGACTTCTGAGTAGCTGGAATCACAGGCATGCCTGACTGCACTGGGCTCTGTGTTAAATTTCACAAGAGGACGCAGAAATGCAGAGTGGGTTCCTGTCAACCAGGCATGGCCATCTGGTGGGGAAGATTCAGATGGGCAGAATGACAAACACAAAGACCAACAGTGAGAGTGAGGTACTCTGTGCATATTATCTCACTTAATCCTTATCCTGCTCCTTGATTTTCCATTTTCCAGACAAAGAAACTGAGTCTCAGAGTAGTCAATTAACATGCCCACTGCCACACAGCTTGAGATGCTAAACTGGCTGATTTCAAGGCCATGGGCTTCCCTCTGCTGTCCTGGGGAGGCAAGACCCCAGAGGGGGTGCAAGCGAGAGGCAGTCCTCGGTTGTAAGAGGGTTAGTTCCCGGCTTAAGATCCATATCTGGGTCTGGGGCTGTAGCTCAGTGGTAGAGCACTTGCCTGGCATGTGTGAGACACTGGGTTCGACCTTCAGCACCACATAGAAATAAATAAATAAAGCCATTGTGTCCATCTACAACTAAAACATATTTAAAAAAAAAAAAAGGTTCATATCTCTGCTAACCCAAGCACAGGACGACCTGGGCCCTGCCATTGTCCTCCCCACCCGCTGCCCAGGCACAGCTGGCCCCGTTGATCCACTGGAGGACCGCAGAGGACTCAGCACAGCAGTGGGTGTAGCCTGCAGAGAGTGGTAGCTGACATCCCAGCCCCAAGGTGGTGGCTCTAGTCTGGGAGGGCCAGGAGGTCACACAGAGGCAGCGGAGACTCCCACAGAAAAGTAGGGTGGGGAGGGGTGAGGACGTGACTAGCCCCTGAGCCATGATGCAGACGGGCTCAGGCTTCTATTTGCAGAAGCTTCCAGAGATACTTAAATCTGGCCGAGGGCAAGGGGCTCCATCCGGGAGAGCCTGGCTCATGCTCCAAGTGTGAGGGACCCGCTCCCCGGGAGTCGGAGGAGTTGATCTGGTCACTTCCAGGTCCTGGTTTCCACCTTCAGGAGGAAGGGTGAATAGGAATATCTCGGCTCCCTCTGTTTCGGGCCGTTGCTGATGCTCGCATATGACAAGAGAGACAGCCTGTGCACCTGTCGTGTGGGAGACCTCCTGCCTCAGAGGTTGGGACAGAGAAGGCCGGGGAATGAGGTCAGGTGGGGACAGGTGGGGAGATACATCCCCTACCCCACCTGAGATAGGGGCTGGGATCTGTCCTTCCCACAGGGTTTTACCTGGAGTTTGGGGACACCACTGACCTTGCTCCCTGGGCTGTTCCTGAGAAAGCAGGTCACCATGGCCACAAGGTGAGTTAGGAGGGCTGCAGACAGGGAGCTGGGGCTTCTGGCCGCAGGATGACCCCACCTTAGTCCCGGGTGTCAGCGGCCAGGGTTGGTCCAGGAGCTGCTCCAGGGAGTCCGGTTCCAGTCTCAGCTCTGCTACTAACCAGCTGACCTGGGGCAAGGCCCTTCCTCCCCCTGGCCTCTAGTCCCTTTTGTCCCTTTTGGTGACATGTGGCTGTAGGACCCTACCTTCTCCCAGGTCCCAGTTCTGATGTCCTGGGAGCCAGAGGATTTTGGACTCCACACTTCTACTGAGCCTCAGTTTCTCACTTGAATGGGAGCATTAGGTGGAGGAGCCTGGGAGGGATGATAGCCCTCCCCCACTGGGAGCGTGGGCCCATGGGTCTTGCTGCCTGTACCAGGTGTGGGACAGAGGCTGGGCTGGGGCCGTGGCCCATCCATTTGGAGAAACTCACCAGGACTGTGGAGTCTTGGGGCTGAAGGTTGGCAGGGGTCAAGGACTCAGACCAGCCACTCAGGCTTCCGAGGCCAGCAGGGAGGGGGGAGGAAGAGGCCGGTCCTCAGAGCAGACCCGTTCCAGGATGCCAGGGGTGTGCCCGGAGGAGGCCTCAGCTGAAGTCTCAGGGACCAGCACCCACCTTGGGGGCCTGAAGGAGAGTCTTAGGTCCCCTGGAAGCCCATGGCCAGCGGAGCTCATCGCCCTGGGTCCTGGGGGATCCCCCTGGCAGGAAGTCCTGAGGAAGATCCAGGAGCTCTCGGATTCGGTATGGAGGGAGTCAGCAGGAGCTCAGAGGCCTCTGGCCCGTCTACAGTCAGAGGCTGGGGAGGACCAGGACAGTAGCAATGGCGGCCATGGGAGGTGGGAGTCTTGGTTGTCCCTTTGATGGGTGAGAAAAGCGGCTTCCTGCTTTGTGGCTTTGCAAGGCCATCTCACAAGTCTTTTTCCAAGGCCCCCTTCAGCTGGGGGTCTTTGATGAGCAGCTCTGCTCCCCCCAGCCTCCCTGGTCAGGGGGGACTTTACTGGGGTCAGACCCTCTAGTAGAGGTGGGAGCCTCCTTTTCCTAGCTTTGGTCCATAGAGACGATGCCTTCATGGTGGCTGACCTGGACATGCTGGCCAGCCGCCACGCGACTTTCCGCCAGGCCCTTCCACGAGTCTGGCCCTTCTATGCGGTGAAGTGCAACAGCAGCCCCTGGGTGCTGCGCTTCCTGGCTGCCCTGGGCACAGGCTTTGACTGTGCCAGCCAGGTGAGCCTGTGTCCACACCCTCCACGGGGCTGTGTGACTAAGGTGGGCAGCCCGCTAGAGAATGGGGGAGCACAGCCTTCAAGCCTCAGAGCACACTCCTGTCCTGGTACAGCCAGCTGACCTTTCTGACCCTCAGTTTCTTCCTCTGGCCAAATGTGGTGGTGGGCACCTGTAATCCTAGCAACCTAGGAGGCTGAGGCAGGAAGATTTCACAAGTTTGAGGCCAGCCTAGGCAACTTAGCAAGACCTTGTCTCAAAATGAAAAATAAAAAGGGCTGGGGACGTGGCTCAGTGGTAAAGTGCTCCTGGGTTCAACCCCTAGTACCAAAAATAAAATAAAATAAAGAGGCCAACTCTTAATTTCCCAGTGGAGTGCTTGGTAGGTAGCAGGGTTTCAATCAAGGGCAGCTCCATTTGCTCAGGCCAATCTTCCTGTCTCCAAAGAGTAGAGGGTCAGCAAGGTAACCCCCAACTCCGGCTTTCACCCATGCCAGGTGGAGCTGCAGCAAGTGCTGAGCCTGGGTGTAGCCCCCCCACGCATCATCTTTGCCAATCCTTGCAAGGCCAGTGCCCACATTCAGTATGCAGCCCGTCGGGGGGTGAAGCTCCTGACCTTTGACAGCGAGGAGGAGCTGACCAAGGTGGCCAAGCACCACCCTGAGGCCAGGTGAGCAAGCATAAGAATTGGGGTCAGTAGGTCAATGCTTTCCCTGGTGCACGTTGGTATCAATTGCTTTTGTCTGCCCAGACACTAGACAGAGCCTGGCACAAGGACATCTGACCCATGATGTCAAAGAAAAAGTACTCACATGGGCTGGGGGCGTGGCTCAGTGGTAGAGCACTCGCCTTGCCTGTGTGAGGCTGTGAGTTCAATCCCCACCACTGGGTGAGGGGGAGGAAAACTTACTCACACGGAGTGAGACAGGGCTCTCTTCTCAGAGGCATGGGTCTCATGCTATGTAGTCTTGAGAAAGTTAAAAACAGCATACTACAGGGACACAGCCACATCCATGTTTATAGCGGCATAATTCACAATAGCTAAACTGTGGAACCAACCTAGATGCCCTTCAATAGATGAATGGATTAAAAATGTGGCATATATACACATGGAATATTACTCAGCAATAAAAGAGAATAAAATCATGGCACTTGCAGGTAAATGGATAGCATTGGAGAAGATAATGCTAAGTGAAGTTAGCCAATCCCAACGAAACAAATGCCGAATGTTCTCTCTGATATAAGGAGGATGACTCATAGTGGGGTAGGGAGAGGGAGCATGGGAGGAATAGACGAACTCTAGATAGGGCAGAGGGGTGGGAGGAGAAGGGAGGGGGCAGGGGGTTAGCCATGATGGTGGAATGTGATGGACATCATTATCCAAAGTACATGTATGAAGACACCAATTGGTGTGAATATACTTTATATACAAACAGAGATATGAAACATTTGTGCTCTATATGTGTAATAAGAATTGTGATGCATTCCGCTGTCATGTATTTAAAAAATAAAATCAATTAAGAATTGGAAAAAACCCATCTCTGGTTCTGCAGAAGGTGTGTTTACGATTTTATCCTTTTCCTGCTCGTTCTTGCCTGGCAGGAGTCCAAGTTCACTCCCTCCGTCTCAGAGGCTGGATAATCAGGGGAGCAGGCGGGGGTGCGGTGGAGGGGGGCGGGTAAAGAAGGCCTTGGGGTTCACGTGTCTAAACTCTCCTGCCATCCCTCCTGCCTGCCCCAGGCTGGTCCTCCGGATATTGGCCGAGGACAGCAAGAGCAGATTCCCCCTGAACACCAAGTTTGGTGCCAGCCTGGAGGCCTGTGGACACCTGCTCACGAGAGCCAGAGAGAGACCTGGGGCTGGCTGTGGTCGGAGTCAGGTGAGTGAGCAGTAGCCTTCCATGACGGGAGGCGGGAGTCCTGGTGCCCCCCTGAGCCCTTTACTTAATGCACATGCTGGGCCAGTGGTGGCCTCTCTGGCCCCCAGTGGCCTTTACCCCTGGGTTCAATTCCCAGCACTACAAAAAGCAAAATAAGATAAAAAAGGAAAGATTGCATCAAACGTGATTTGTCTGGGTTACTTTATGTTTTGGTGCCCCCTCCTTAAATGTCTCACCTGAGGAAATGGCTCCACCCTTTCTGGCCCTGATTACTCAGCCTGCCTTCTGGGAGGCACTAGGAGTCAAGCTTCTGACGACAGACCCTCCAAGACCCTGCAATGGAGGCACTGGGAGGGGCAGCTGGGGGTGGCACAGTCCCCAACTCCAGGATTGTCATTTGGGGTGTGTGCACCCCCAGGACACCCTGTGCATATCCCAGGTTGCACATTCCCTGGGTACCCACCTGGGCCCGTGTAGAGGGGCACTCTGAGGTGTCAGACCCGTGCTGGCCTCTGTTCTTCACCTGTGTCCCAGCAGCTGGGCAGGTGTTTCTGAATGCGTTGCTCTTCACGCTGACCCTTGGATTTCCATCTGTGTGTCTCCCATGCTACCTGCCACGGTGGTGCTCAGCTTCCACGTGGGCTCCGATTGCCAGACCCCCCAGAGCTTCGCCCAGGCCATTGCTGACTGCCGCCGCGTGTTCGAGATGGGCCGCGGGGCTGGCCACCACATGAGCCTCCTGGATCTCGGAGGGGGCTTCCCTGGAGCCGAGGGCTCTGAGCCTGTGTTTGAGGAGGTGCGAGAGATGGCCCGGGCGGGAACTGGGAGGGAGCCTGGTGTCGCAGTCTGGGGTGAGCCCGGTGTTTGGGGGGCTCTGTGCACACCTGGGGTCCGTCTGTGTTCAGAGCCCTTTGCCTGACTGCGCATGTGCTACCTGCTGTGTCTCTCTTGGAACACCTTCACTGCTGTCCCTGGCTGGGCTGCAGTCGGGTAGAAGTTTGCAATCCCCAGACCAGGGAACATTCTCCTTCTCCTGTCGGTTGATTTAAATGCTCTGAACTCCCACTTCTCAGGGTGCCTTTACCTCTCTTGCTGGGTGCCTTCGCCCTTCTGGGTCCTACCTGCTCCCTCCTCAGTAAACCTCTCCACATCCCTGTCACTGTCACTGGGGCAGAGGGAAACGGAGCATGCTAAGCCCACTGTATAGGAACTGGCCACAGGAGAGGCTGGGTCTGTCCCTGCAGATGGCGAGTGTCATCAATGCTGCCCTGGCCCAGGACTTTCCCGAGGACACTGGTGTTGAGGTCATTGCGGAGCCTGGACGCTTCTACATGGCATCTGTCTGCACAGCCGCTGTCAACATCATTGGCAAGAAGGCGGTGCTGGGGCCCGGTGGGTGGGCCTGGAGGGCGCTGGGTGGGGAGGCCACAGGCCAGGCATCCCCAGGCCCTGGGCAGAGGATGGGCAGCTGGGCTAGGCTTTGCCCCTGGTGCGTAATCAGCAGGAAACCAGATTTGAATTGGGCTTGGAAAAAACCCCATAGTGTCACTAATTTCTTGTTCTCAAATAGACTGTGAAGTCCAGAATGAAGACAAAAGGTCTTTTCTTCCTCAATAGCCCGTAAATTTATGCTGCATTTATAAAGTTAGTCACAGAATACAGCTCAGGTCCCAGGCACCCTTGTAATGTATACCCTGTAACTAAGCCTAGTAAGTTCTCCTGCCTCCCTCCTCCCCCCCCCCCCCCCCCCCCCCCCCCCCCCCCCCCC